ATTCTTTAGGTAATTTAAAGAAATCTGTTAGAGGAGCAGCCTACCTAAAAAGAATCAATTTTATGCAAAGTGTTTTAGGCTCTTCTAATATAGGGGACACCTTATTTGGAAATATGTTACCTACGAGTGAAGGAATTAACAAACGTTTCAGAGAGCTTTCTTTATTTTTCCACCCTGATAAAACAAGTCAACCTAATACTCCATACTGGCTTAATGAAAATCACAAAGATTTAGGCGCAAAGCTATTCCAAATTATTCTAGAGTTTAAAGAAAAATTGTCAAAGGACTACGAAGAAACTGTAAGGGCCAAAGGCTTCATAACTTATCATGAAAAAGAGGCAAATAGGCTTTGGAAGATTTCGATTGATCATCGCAATGCATCCAAAGGACAATGGAATAAACTCAAAATAATAAATATAGATGACATTAGGGGCTTCTCCTCCGAAAAACTAGAACGTTTAAGCATAGATTATGGAATACTTGCTTATAATGAATACCGAGAAGCTTGTCAATTTGCCGATAAATCAGGACAACTAAAAAAACGAGTAGAATTGCGGGGAAACATGGCGTTGTGCTTATATGTTTCTAAAAAACTTATCGAAGCTCAGTTATATGCATTATCTGCAATTCAGATACTACTTCGAAGTTCAGAAGCAACAGTTCAGGATATGATTTCTGTAAAAAAAATTTATAATAAAGTCAAAGGTTCGGATGAAACCAATGAAAGTAATGAGACTGAATCAGGAAATAATTCCAATAATGAACTATCATGTTTGACAAAAAGCAATTTCTTCTCTATTTTTGAAAAGAAAACCCAACAACGTTCAAATGAAAAGATTATTAGAAAATTGAGTTGGAGTCTAATAATGCCGGATCAGAGTCTAGTTAGAGAGACTACACCCAAGACACAAAACTACGAGCAATATGTAAAGGGAGCAACAATTGCGTTAGGATCCGTATTGAATTTGAGCAATTGTTTAGTGTCTTTATCAGCCATATATGTGTTAGGACCAGTTGGTATTCCATTTCTTCTTGTTTCACTTGGTCTTGGAATAGTCAATTCTATAGTCTATTGGAAAAAAGGTTGTCAACTTTTTAACGAAGCAAAAGTTCGCACAAATCTTAATAGAATAATGACCAACGCAATAGAAGCTTATAACAAAGGAGAGTACCAGAAGTTTATCAAAATACTTTCTGAGGAATATAAGGAAAACACTTGTATTTTAAAATTGGAGAAATCTGACGATATTATTGATACCAAGGAGATAATAAAATCGCTTATGAAACATGGTTTTCGGTCAGATGGAATTGCCTGTTTGTTGAATTTGATTGGCCTGGTATTGGGCAGTGGCATAATAAAAGTTAATGGGCAAACAACAGATGAATTAACAAATATGGCGGTATTGGCTTTTCGCGGAGTGCAGAGTGAAGAACTTATAAAGGAAGCCAAAAAACTAGATGAACGCATTAATGGTTTTCGAAAGAAATTCAAATTCACATCCAAAATTTTTTCCTTTTTTTTTAATATAGAGGACGCAGATATTTTTGAAGAGAGTCTCTTTCTATCAAGGCTGGAAGAAATGCGTAATGTTGCACTACTTAACATTGCAATTATCGATATATTAATTGGTGGTGATGAACAAATAGAAAGAGCAATAAAAACAATTACGGAAATTCGGGATTTAATTACTAAAGATTATAAATTATTTGACGTGGTTAAACAACGCTTGGAAGCTGTCGAAGATTTATTGTGGATGGTCAGTGGCGAGAGACCGACCGACAAACTTCGAATTACTATTTAGTCTCAAAAACAAAATGGTATTATTGTCCCTATACTCTTCTCAACAGTAAATTTTAAGATCGACTTTTTTTCTTCTTTTTCGTCCAATAAAAAATATTAAAGGAAAACCTATGCAAAAATATACGTAAAGAACCTTCACTAACAAAATGCAATGCCAATATTTAATTTTCTTTATAATAATTTTTTGATTCATTTCTGCCGAGTGAAAGGTACATACAACGTTGGAACAATAGACACATAAAAGTCCAAACAAGCTATTTTTGAAAATATAAATCATGTAAATCAATATTAATTTACATTTAAATATACGTAATACAGTACAGTAACAGGATTTTATTAAAAAACATGCCATACAAAAGAATAGTCATCCATATAGCAAACATATTAAATATCAAATTTACCAATCAATTGCTTAAATTCAACATTACCAAGCTATGTAACCCAAAAACCAAAGCCTCTATCGAAATGGAAATAAAGTCAATACAAGCAAGCCATACAATATGGGCATGCCCAATCTGCCACCCGGAAAAATTTCAAGAATGCTGGATCACCAGAGCCACCACCACATGCAAAAAATACAAAATCGCAGTCTGCCCACCTAAATGTAAATTCAACCATCTAGAAGGAAACCAATCTATCGGATTGGCATTCCCTTTCAAAGGCAAAGTCTTGGCCCGACAGGCACTTGGCCTCTATCACAAGAACATCAAATTCCTTAGTGACCTACTAGTTTATCAGTCAAATCGCAGACTCACCTGACACGAATACAATGCACATTTAGGTCTCACACCCAAAGGCCCTATCCCAGCATGGTTTTTCCATATCAGTATCCCAAGTTCTATTCAAGGATCCTCTACTTGCATACCTAATATCAAGGCAAGATTTTGGGCAACCATACTTAACAATCAGATTATCTATATCAAAGCTAGGCACAATCAAAAAAAGAGCCACCCAATTGTTGAAGGACTGCACTACTGTATAGATTCAAACAAAACCTTTATCAAATGCCAATGTCATAGCAGCACGCAAAAAATCTCAGCTCCAGTACAAGAAGTCATGACCTTATAGACTTACCTCAAGAATAACCAGCACCGCTTGGCCAATGCTCTGGAAGAAATTCTAATTCAACTTCACTCTAAAAAGAACCCACCAAACCTTACACCTACTATAGAGATCAATAGAATAGATCCAACGAGCATCCTGCCCTATATCAACAATGAAATGCTCATCGACATCAAATAAATTCTTAAGACAGATCATTTCTTTGTCACCATAGACCTAAGTCTCAAAAATGAGTATATCATCGCAAAAGCGAATAATACAACAGTTACCTTTTACTTTGAACACAATAAGCACATTAGTATCTTGCTGGTTACGATCAGAGTTCTGGCAGCAGCGAACAATGACATTTACGTATCACTCAATACAACAATCACTCCCACTTTAACACTACCAAACTACATCAACCAAAAAGTCAAAACAGCCTACAGTTACCTTGTGGACTGCGTCAAAACTCTTGTAAGATCAAAAGGCATCAAGCTGCAACTTAATAAACTAGAAAGAGATCCTAATTTACAGGAAAATGATTTAGTAATATGTATAGACAACTTGATAGAAGCCAACAAGTACATCACAGGGCCACAAATCAAAAACATGTGGGGATACAGCATAGTAACATGGATCAAAAGAACACAGCAGACCTACAGGCTTATCAATATTATCATCAGCTCATCAGTCAAAAAAAGATGGGACACTACACTACAAGTAGAAACTATACAAAGCCTTGTTCTTGCAAATAACCTGTTAATTAAGAAAGACAAGTATAACTTATCTTCTTTACTAGCATTCAGAAATAAAATCCTAAGCGGCACTTTTTCAACAAGAAAGCTCCTGCACGAAAGATATCCAGTTATATATCAAGACGATCTTTGTCCAAGATGTCTAATCACACCAGAAACCCAAGAACACATCTTTACATGTTATAAGAATAATGAGGCATACGAAAAGATTGAGTTCAAAATGAAATTGAAGATCAGCAAACTGCTCAAAAAAATTGATAGAACAAGAACCAACCTAGACTTCAATAGAAAATCACAACCAGAGAAAGTGGTATGTGGCATTACAGACCTCAAAAACCAGCTATCAAAGAAGAAATTTGCCAAAATAATAAACAGCATCTTAAAACTTCTGTATATACTAATATGGGTCCCCAGATCAGCGACCGCAAACACATCAATAGCCTCAGGAATCAGATGAACCAAACTACAAAACAATTCACAAAATAAAAAAGCCAGTAACACAGTGACTCCCACTTGTAGACAAAACTTGTTCCATCTTATTGTTTCCTCAACTGACGCACAAGATACTAACTCAAGCAATGTACTCAAGTCACATGATCTAATCGCAGCTCTGGAAGAGTGTTAACCATCCAGCACTAGAGCCAATCTGAATTACATCAAGTGTAACAAAGATAGCAATAGTTAATATCGTAGATAGGTTAACA